TTAATTTAACCAATCTCATTGTCATTTTATAGCTGTTCCATATGCTATATGAAATAAATTGAAACAGTGCTTGTTAGAAATTGAAACAAGTTAGAAGATCATCCTTCAACTTACTCATAGTAATCTTAGGCAATGGAAAATTATATATGGAGACAGCAACCCTCATTTTGATACTGTGCTTTTCGAAATAATGTTGTATGACAGTGCTTGTACTATCAGTTCCGTTATAGTACTTGGTTTGTAACTGTTTGTCCATTGATGCAGCCACTTAAAAAGCAGTCTCTCCACATGATTAAGTTATTCCTAAAAACTGTCATTAACTTAATAAATAAGAGCACCTAGGAGTTCTCAAATTTAGACTGACTGTCTACAGTGGGAATACTTGCAAAATGGTATTGTCATGCTACTCCAGGAGAGCACTCCAGTGTGGACACAGATGACATAACAGGACTTTGCTTAGTTTGTGAATAAAAAAACAAACAAACCAACTCTCACCCATAAAACAGATAAACTGTTTCAGTGAAATAATTTTCACTGGCACAATGGCATATCATAGTACTAACTGCAAGCTTTGATGTTCCCACAAAGGCTCAAGATATTGTGTAGGGCTATATATTTCTTTCTTGAAAAATCTGTCAATTTTACAAAAATCTGTGTAGGCATAACTATCAGATTTCTTTGCTGCAGAGAAAGGTTATTTTTTTTCTTTGAGCTTTTATATTCCACTCCTTGTTTAGTAATTTGGTGACTATTTTTTTTATTTATGTTTGTTTATGCACAGTTCCACAGGTTCAAAGAGTGGTGGAAGCATCTGTAGAAGAAAAATTAATTGAGGGCTGTTAAATACTAGGACTATCTGATTTAAGTTCTTATGTCACAAACTGTTAGAGACGATGAAAATATTCAGGGAAATCTTAACATATTTTTTTATCTTGGTGGTTTTTGTTCTGCTTTGGCATCTCCTAATGACCGCTGTCAGAGGCCTGAAGACCTTCCACCTGACCAGAAACAGCTATTCTAGTGCAGTTCCAGTAGACTAGTTTCCAATAGAAGAGTTAAGCACCTTGTCGTTAGTTTCATCAGTGTCTCAAAACCTGAGCACAAAAACATGAATTGTATACCCCACCTCATCATTAAGGTTTAGTGTTTCAGAGAATGTTCAGAAAACATACATACAGAGCATAGAACCAGTTAACAATAATGAATAGGGAAAAATCATTATATACTGAGCTATGTCTGATTTCCCTGTTGTAATCCAGGTCTTGTATTCCTGATTTAGGTAGTGTTGCACACAGACACGGTTGTATTTTTACACTGACTGCAAATGATTTTAAGACAATTTATGTTCCCATTGTATGCAGATATTGTCAGTTGACATCATCTGGGTTGATGCCTCAATTTGTTCAAAAAAAGGAGCTTATTTACTGCACTGAACTTAATAAAATGTATTTGTAGTTAAAGCTTAATGAAAAGAGATAATTTGTGGGGGGAAAAAAGGAATTTAGCACTTTAAATGGCTTTTTGTGATTGTTTTTTTAAGAATAAAATTCATTAAATACATTAAGCACATTTTTCACATCAAAACTACGTATTTTGTTTACAGTTTATAAAACTTCAGCAAATTTCCTTTCTAAGAAAGGAAGTTAAATTCTCAGTCTCCCTACACTGATAGGAAATATAAATTTTAAATTCTAGCCTACATAGTGAGAATAATTTTAATCCTATTTGACAGAAGTATTTTATTTAAAATGATTGCTTTCTAAACCCAGATAATAGACATTAAAATGTTTTTTTCAGCAGTAACCAAATTCTAAATATTTAATTTAGTGATGTAATTCACGGAAAGGAATAAATACCTATAATTAACCATGTCCTTGTAATACTAAGTGTTGACAAAAACCTTTAAAAAAATAGCAGTGTTTTTGAGACCATGTTTACCGACAGTATGCTCTAAGTAGGCAGGGTGAAAATACTTTTATTCAATGAAAACTAGTTTTAGTCCTAATTCAATGTTTACTTTACTGGGGTAAAAAGATTAAATAAAATGAACAGATTTATCATGATTTGTACCTACAGGGAGGGCCACTGAAACATATCCACCTAATCCCCTTATCAGCACTGGGACAAATTACCAAAATATCTCATTTTGAGAAGGCTGTAGCCTATTCATAGCATGTAGTTTATTGGCGTGCACACAAATCTGTATGTTAAAGATGAGTGTAAAAAGTGGTTTGTAATTGAAGCAGATTGGCACAGACTAACAGTAGTCCCTTTCACAATGCACAATGCTGTAATCTATTGGATATGTTTGAATGAGACACATCCACACACCACAATAGAAGCCTTTGATAGTGTCCCAGGAGTCAAGGTGTATGAACAAGGCATTTAGTTTCATAGTGCTGAGAACAGATTTCACAAGTTAAAAAGATACATGACAATCTTTTGTCAGGTTTAGAATTTGCATTCATGGCTGGGCTATCCCATCAGGAACCTGAGTGGGCCACAGGCAGAGGACGATTGTTTTTCATGGAGGTCCTTTGTGCTCCTGATAAGGTCCTTTGATGATGGGAAGATACTTGTTACAATGCACTTAATGTTGAACTCAGTCATGCTCAGGAAAGTCTTATGACCTTTACATCAATTTTATAGAAGTGTTTTACAGGTCACCTATGTATTCATAGGTTTTAAAACTTTTTATTTATTTTAGCATTATTTGTAGTTACTGAATTTAGTTACTGAAGATAATACAGCTGTAAAATGTGGTGACTTCATTTTAATAGAGTAGATACACTTTGAATGGTTTATCTTATGTCTTTTAAGCATAAAACAAATACACCCATAGTTTTTAATGAATATACTTAAGTATGGGAAAATAAACTGTTCTAAAGGACATACATATTTTGCTGAAACTTTTTTTAGAAGTTTCATAGTCATAGTTTGGGAAACAATTTATATTTCTTTTTTTCTGACATTCAAAATGCTACACTTTTTCTGCACTTTTATTCTTATGATCTTGCTTGAATTCTATAATTGTAACTGATGCAGTTTTCATATTCAGGTTGTTATTTAGTACTGTATTTTAAAGAAACAAAAGGCACAAAGCAAAACCTATCATAGATGATACGTCTTGATGTCATTCTTAGAAAAAGTATACTTCTCTCTTTTGTGATTGTTGTATGTAAGTTAAAAATAAAGTGCAGACTACTGTTTATCTCTGACCTTAATTTAGTGTGATTGTTTGCTTATTTTTTTCCACTGTTTTTTTTAAAATGTCAATTCAAACTAACAGACTTAGTTTCCCAGAGGTGTGGCTGACACTGATTTACTTTATTGATGTTGATCAGTATGAGACAGCTTGTAGGTATTTAGGGTAGATTCATAACATCTGTAAAAAAATAAAATGCAAGTCACTCGATAAAGGAGAAAATCCAGTTTTCTTTTTAAAAAAAACAAAACAAAACTGGAGGTCTTTAATTTGGTATTTTTGTCTCAATTTATAATACAAATTTATAATTTGATTTGTTTTCCAGTTTCTTTTCCTCCCTCTCCACTCCTTCCCCTTTTCTCCTCTTCCTGTCCTCTTTTCTAATCTTCTCTTTTCTTTTGCCAAAACTAGTCAAGTTTGAAAACGTTAGAGAGCAGTTAGAACTAACAGCCAGACTTCATCTCTAGAAAATAGAGGCAAGTGGCAGTATAATAGTCAAGTTTGTTGTTTGGTTCATGTCAGGAAAATAGAAAGTAATATGATCAAAAGTATCAGACACTGAAATAACTGTAAAGAGCTGAGTCTCGTCTAATCCCGTAACTCTTCAGAGATAGAAAGAACTACATTTTAATTTCTGTTAAACCTTGCATCTCTTATCAGCTGTAAGACCATAAATGGAATAACTAGCATACTCCAAAATAAAATTCAAGTAGTAGTGAGAATCACTTTGCACTTCAATAAACCAAAACTGGCATCAGTCTTATTGTTGGCTCTGTTTATATTAAACCTAGATCTGCCTAGATCTAGTCAATACTACATTTCCATATGAAACCATATAAAATATTAAGCATTGCCTTTAAAAAAGAAAAATAATCCAGAAATACTAAAAACATATTTTTGTAGGAAACGATATAGAGTTAGATTGTTTCTGGATTTTTTGGTTTTTTTGTAGTTTGGTTTTGTTTTGGTTTGGTTTTTTGTGTCTGTGTTTTGGGTTTGGGTTTGTTTTTTTTTGTTTGTTTGGTTTTGTTTTGTTTTCATTCAAGTGTCCATACAAATAAAAATAAAATAATTTTGGATATTCAGTTGTTCTTGTTATTTTTGCAGCTGAAATCCCTGTAATAACCATACCAGCTACACCTGATTTCATAAACAGGATTATGATTCTAGATGAATGCTAAGGAGTTGATCAGCCCCTTGAAAACAAACTCTGTTTTCTTTCAAGTATTCTAATGACAAAATCAAGAAAGAAAAGATCTGCTTTCTCAGCACAACTGACTCAAATTCTTTTCAGCATTTTCGGTGATGCCAATGGGTCTTTAGGAAGTTGTTAATATATGTTATGTATTATAAAACAACTGCTGATTGCTGAAGTGGCAAAATGACACATTCACCTTTGAGTATGGTAGTTGATTCACTTTATATTTTCTGCTTTATCTAATTAAGCACTGAGGACCAGATCTTAGGTTGGATGATGTCTTATTCACTAACAATTTTATTAAGAACAAGATTATTTGAGAATTGAGGCAGCACTTACTCTTACTGAGGATGGTACAGTCTGGCCTGAAGGAAATTTATTTTAGCTCTAGCTCAACTATATTTAAATGTTAACCCTGCAAATTCAGGCCTCATTTTGTGAAAGTAATTTAATCTATAAAGAAGAAAGACTAGTGTTACATTAATTTGAAATAGTTTTTCTTTTTGAAATATGGAGTATATAAAATGGTTTTATCTCCAAGTCATGAAAAAAAAAAGCCTGTGATTTTTGTTTTTGTTTTTGTTTTTTTTTTTTTAGCATAGAACAGTGTCTTAAAGACCTGCAATCAGAAGTAAATGAAATATCTGCTGATGAAATACTACAAAGCACAACTGACTGCGTTCAGTGGCTAAACAACTGCAATTTTAGTTCTCTCAGACCTTCTTCTACACACCACGGAGAGCTGCTGGAGTTCCTTAGGACCCTGGTAAAAATTGTTTACTAAAGACTTTAATGTTTGGGAAAGTTGGTTATATGATGGAGGTGGGGAGAGTGTTGAGGTTCATTGGTTTTCTCATTTCAGTCTTCACTGTGGTGAGGATAGTTCAGAAATCCTATTATAAGGCTTAGTACTATTTTTATGTCTGCAGCAGGGGGTTATGCTTCCTTTTGATCATGCCTTAAATGGACAAACTTGGGACAAAATCTTTTCACTGATACTACCACATGTTCAGCACTGCTAGAACTATCTTATAAACACATGTTGCTAAAAAACATCTGCCTATACCCAGGCTGTTACTGTTACTGCTTGCTCTTCACTTGTATCAGTATGAATTTAACTCATCTAATACAGATTGTTGTCCTTTGCACATTATTTAAGCATTAACTTCTGTGTGAGCTGGTACAGGCAAGACACAGGGACAGCCACAAAACCACGGGTGAAATACAAAGAGTAAATTTATTCTCATTACCTTGCAACCCAGGGGATCTCCACAGCAGCACCTGGGCAGAGGCACGTGAGTGGGGACACAAGCACCGTGGAGCTCGGTCCTTGCTAGCCAGAAGGAGGAGAAGAAAGAAAAAACCTGGAACCTGCCGCTTTCCCCTGTATATATCAGGGATTTTTGCAGGCGTAGTTTTCCACTGTGCTTTGATCTTTCCCACAGCAGGGCAGGAATCTCAAGGATGTTCAATAAGGTGCCTCTGAGTCTCTCTCAGGCCTGTGTTACCTAAATGCAGACATTCTACTCATCAAGCACACAGAGCTAAACAACAATTAGTATGATATTTGTGGTTTTTGACATCCCAGCTGCAAGTGACTTGAGCACGTTTACAATGCTCCTTGCCAATCTTCCATTGTATTCCCACAAATTCATATCTGCTTTTTCTAATTAGAAATGTGGTAACAACATCCATTGTCCTAGAAAGTTGTACAACTAGATGTAACCAGAAATCATATTTCACTTCAATGAAAAATTCCATCATTTAGGAATTTTTATCCAAAATTTTTTTTAAAAGTTAACCTTAGAATATATGTGTGGAAATGGAAGTCTAGAAAACTGAATTGGCTATATAAGTGAAGGATGATACCTTAGTCAATAACAGCTTGGACATTTATATATGAACTATGTATATGTGTGTTTATATGATGTACATATGTATGAATGTCAAACCAAATAAACAATATCCAGTGGACTGTTCTTTGTCACTTCCATGTCATGGTTTAGTTGTGGGACATGAACACCTTTAGGCTAAGACTGTCTGCATTGGCAGAGAAAAACTGCTGTGGAGAAGCAGAATATTTTCTCCTTTGACACTATCTCCTGGCTAGAGCTCAAGATTCATCAAATCACCTCTCAGTTTTTAGCTCTTAAAACTGGTTGTTGATCTTTCAGTCACCCTTGAATCCACTGGATATTAAGCTGTGTCAAATGAGGAAGTAATCTCCAGAAACATTGGGCCTTTCACGTTCACATGCTGAAGAAGTGATTTTGTCCCCTTCTAACACAGGCGATTGGTATGAATGTTGCTCTAAATAATCACCCTACTCAAGGATATCAGAGACTGCTACATGTTGTACTGGATCTAGACAAAATGAGAGAATACCCAAAAATGCTGACGTATGAGGTCTTTTGTTATTCCTCTTAGTTGAGTTAGATCCTTATTTAACCTCCTTAGGAAGAGGGCATGGCCATGATGACTTACTTGCATCCTTTCCCTGCTTTCTTCCTTCTCCATGGTCTATTCAAGCCATGTACCTGAACACCAGGTGGCGGCATTTGTTTGGGAAACACCAAAATGTCCCCATCTCTGGAATACTTCGGGTATATCTTATAGAAAAACGTGCTTTCTGGCTTCCCAGGAGCATACTGACTGCATGGCAGCCTGGCTGTGGGCTGTAGAGTCCAGTTAGGCCTTGAGAGTGGCTCTGAGCAGGCTGCTAAACAGGCAGCAAAGTGTGAGAGACATTAAAGTCTCAGTTCTGCACAACTTATCAGGAAAATATCTGTGGAGCTCAGGAACTGGGGCACTGCTGTTTCCAGGCTCATGGCTTCTCAGATAATCCAGCCTATTGTGTAGATGAGACTACAGATGAGAAGTGTGAATATATTAGCATGGACAATCCATCTGTAAGAAGTTATACTCGCAATAGATAATCTTTAGCTCCATAAGCTGATCTGCAGAAAACTATTTTCAGTAATATTCAGCATTAATGCAATTATTGCAGTCTAACCTTTCTTAAATGTGTATCTCCATCCATTGAACTAATTTCTCCGTTGACTTAATTTCTCACTTGCAAGCGTTTAATTAAGTATCATATAATACATCTTCAATAACAGTAACCTTCCTTCTATTTCAGGACAATATCCCTATTTGTTTTTATTGCTTATTATATGTGTTTATTTTGTTAGGGATTTTATTTATCTTTTAAGCTGCTGGAACAGTTAAAAAAACAATAGAAAGTTCTGTAAGTTCTTTGGCTGAGGTGCTATATTTAGTTTTATTGTTAGTGTGGTATTCTCATGCATTTGTGAACTCTCATGAAAATGCTGAGAGGTTCTTTATGAAGCCTGAAAATATTAATTATGTGAAATTTCATCTTTCAGTGTACTGTTTTGTAATTCTAAATATTTAAAAACTGAATATGTACATGAACACATCTTCATGAAATTCTGTTCCTGCTAAACTAATGACAAAATCATTTTTTTAACAAAGTCTTTATCATATTGGATTTGTTTCTTGATGTGTTATGTAGTAGTCTATAGTGGGTAGTGGTCCAGTTGGTAGACCACAAATGCTTTCCGGTATATTATTGTCACTAACTTTCTGTACTCATAAGAGAACCTTTCATATTTCTCTAAAACCTTTGGGTACTAATTTGGATCTTTTTCTCTTGAATAGTTTTGGCATCATCTTTTGAAGTATTTTTACAGATTAATTTTCAAATAGAAAAGCCTGTGTCAATATAGGCAGTGTTCAAAGAGATGTGATGACACTGTGCTTTCAGAGCTTCAAAGTTCACCTCAGGGGCTCTTTTTCTGAGTAACACTAAGTCTAAGATGGCATCTGCAAGCTCCCTCTTTCTAATGCTTCAGTTTAAGTTGCAAAGGGATTGAAACAATACTTAGCTTCTGACTGACTTTCATGAATAAAAATGTTTCTGCTTAACCTTAAAAAACAACAGTAGGGATTTACTTCGAAGACATTTTGGATTCATCATCCAGAGGCATCAGTTACATTCACTGTTTTGACAGCTTCTCTTGTTTTGTTAATTTCAGTATACAGTGTTTGAGCATGATTCATATAAAAAATTAACCTTTGAACTCCAGAATTATACCTGTGGAGACTCAACTCTTCAACACAGTGGTTTGTGATCAGGGTTTCAGTTTACACACTAAGACACATTCTCTTTGGGGACACGAAACTTTGTAGAATACTTCAATAGATAATAAAAGATCAGGTCAGCCTTATGTATGTGCATATTGATATGTATGATTTAAAATTTTAGTTATACATACTTCTATCACATGTACATGCTTTTATAGTATGATATTTGACTGATAATTTCCACATGTGTTTCCTGGTTCTAAGTAAAAAAATTCATAGGAAACATTCTGAAATAAAGATGTAAAATGGAAGAAAAATAGTTAGTCGGTTATTTTTAAGACTTCCCTTTATGGGAGGCAGTCATGCTCTATCTTTTGTTCAGAATTAGCTATTGTGGTGCAAGTCTTTTATTTTTTGTTTTTCATCACGGAATACTCCAGAGTAAAGGGCAATAGGAAGGTTAAACTCTTGTTTTCTCCCATGAGAGTCCAAGAGTTTTTAATCATCCAGAACAAAGGTTAGGAGTTCTGATACTGAAAATTGTTGTGATTCAAAAGCATGAGGGGGGTAAAAAAAAAAAAGCCCACAGAAGTGTTTCTTCTAAATTTTGTCTTTTTTGTATTTTTATAAATTATCTACTGATAAAAGCTTGCTACAGTAGAAAAAATGAGCATTTTGTGTTGGAAATTATTATATTTAAGCAATACCATACTCAGATTTTATTTATTTCTCTCTTTTTAAAAATAGGAAAAGAAATAAAGCTAATAATTTCCTCAGGTATTTTAAATAAATCAGTAGTTCTGAAGGTGGAAAGTTTCCAACAGCTTCTTTACCAGCCTCACTTCATAGCATGGAGTCTAGTGGAGAGACCCGGATAAAGGTCATGAATGGAAAGAGCTACCCTTAATTGATTAGCCACAATGCTTTTCTCTGCTGGAGAGAAGCAATAGGAGGTGGGGGGAGCAAGTGAGAGGCCTTCTAGATCCTGATTCACTGAGGGCCTGCCTGCTTGGTTCCTGAAACCCAGAAAACCAAGAGTAGCACCAATTTCACTCAGTTTTCTTGTGACTGATGGGGAAATCTGTAGTCAGCTCTAGTGCAGCTGGAGTATGGAGAGCAGGTCTTTACAAATAAAAAGTTGATGGGCCTAGGACTGTGGGCAAAGCCAGTCAGCAGTAGGAAAGATGTTGAGGAAATGGGAAATTAGTTTATAGCAGGCAAGTTTTTTCTTCTGAGAGAGGAAGGAGATTTTGGCGTCCAGTGATCATTGGACTTCGGGGTTGTCTTCTTCTCATATATTGGACACAGCTTGTTCATGCAAATGATACATCTCATCGATATTAAGGAAAGCTGCAGTGCTGTTTAAATCTGTGTCATTCTGGGCCAAGTAGAAAGCATTGAGCTGTGGCAAGAGGACCTGCTACTTGCTGTATGGCCTCCTGAACTTGAAGCAGCTCTAAGGTTGGAGATCCTGGCCCTGGACCAAGAGGGATCTTCAGGCCCAGATGAAGTAGGAATAGCGTGTGCATCAGTGTGGTTTCACCTGCTTTGTTAACTGGCTTCTTTTTTCTGCAACACATGTAGCTGAGATGTATGTAGAGGTCACTATATTGTTAATGTATTGGTCTGCTTCTTGGTTTGACAGGATACACAGCTTCTTATTCTTCTGCCTGGTGAGACCTAAGCCTGTTCAGTTTTTAACAAGTTTTCAATTTTTATTCTGAAAGGGGTTGTAGGAAGATTGTTTTATCCTTAGAATGGCCTTTTTGGTAGTTGTCTGCTGAGCAAGAACACAGAAAGCAACAATGTTTAATTTCATAAATTCCTGTCTTGGTTTTATGAGCAAACCCTGTCATAATGTGTAAATTTGAGCAATTTTTCATACCATTTTCTTTCAAAGATGTGTGTGTGTACCACAACAAGCAGGCTGCCAAGGCTTACCTAATGAGCTTTCCAAGGCCTTCCTTTGAATTGTGGGTTAGAACTGTTTGAGAAAAGAGTTTGAGGGTGTAAGAAAGACAGGGTGAGGAACATGAGTTATTGGAGCAGGTAGACAAAGAGATCAGTTGGCACATAAATCCATAGGAAATCAGGCTTTGTTATTTCTGTTGTTTCTATAGCAGTTTCTGTAAGTCTATTTGCTGGTAATAAATTAGCATTGGAAACAATTGATACTTTAGCATGAAGCTGTTCATTTTATGAATGAAAATTAACAAAACTTTTCTAAAATACTGTCTGATTTACCTTTGTTAGCAAAACTTGCTGAAGAATGAGCAAAATCAAGAAGAAATGATACTCCATTTCCTTCTGGATCTCGCGAGTCAGTGTGGTGTCTCGTTTCCCTGTACTCCAAGCGGGACGTGTTTTGAGTTAACATCTTCCCTTCATGCCATTGAGGATGATTCAGCTATGGATGTGAAATCTCTCTGGGATGATGTGAGATTGCATCTTCGACGATATTTAGTAAATAGACTGCAGAGTCAAGGAGAAACAAATGCTAATGGTTTGCAACAGCAAGTGGAGTTTAAAACTCAGTGCATACAGCAACTTTTGTTTCTTTATCCTGAATCAGAAGTTTTAATGAAGTATCAGAGTATGCAGAATAAACTGGTTAGTGATCTTCTACAGAACTGTATTTTGTCTGGTTGTGGTGAAACAGATTTTGATAAGGTGGTTCATGGTTACCAAAGCTCTGTACCCACGTTGTGCTCAATGATAAAAGAGGATTTGTGTATACTAAGTGGAACTATTGATCCTTCTTCATCACTGAAGTTTATTAATGAAACTTACCTGGATACCATCACTGAAGAAATGACAGTTCTTCTTGAAAGACTGTGTGAGCTGCAGTTCAAAGAAAATGCTCTACATGTAGTTAAAGCAAACAGGATTTCAAAGAAGCATAGAGGAACAGTTCATGCTGTGGGTTAGTAGCCTTATTTTATTTTTATTGTAGTTAGATATTATTTTAATTATACTTCTTTTTTTTCAATAAGCTTGATTATTTCCTATGAAGAGAGAGGCCTGAGATTATTAATTACGTCTTTATGTTTTAACCGTATTACTGCAGTTGAGTTATGGACTGTGTCAGAATTGTGACTGATGGAAAGGGTTTTGAAGTAAGGGAAAGTATCTTATGTGTATAGAAACCCCATTATAATTTAATGGTTATAATTGTCATGTCATAGTAAAGTTTTTCAGTCTAACTTCTTCCCAATGCTGATATTATAATAGAATAAAAACTATTTAATCCAGATTTAAAAAAACACAAATCTTCAGTCTTTTACCCCCACTTTTTTCGAATTCCCAGAAGTTTAATGGAAATTATAGAAAAGATCAGGCAATAATGTGACCATGAAATAGACACAGATTCATACATCAGAGCTGACCCAAAAGATTTCTATGCAGATTCTAATTCTAAAAAAAAAAAAATTCATTTACATTTTCTAGTCTTGTGAAAGTACAGTAAGTTGGAGTTAATGCTACCTGGTCATTTCTTCTTGTAAGGAAGTTAAGGCTGGAAAATTATCTGTTATTGATGTGATATGGTATTCTCTGTGCTTTCTTTTTACAGTTGTTTTGTCTGACATAGTAATTTCCAATGGGAGGAATCAGAGCTTCAGAGCTTTAGGAAAAAATCATACAGGATGGAAACTTTCATAACATAATTGCATGATTGTATGTAATTGCTTTTTCAATGCAGTGTTTTGAGCACTCCTCTGTGCAAGAGCTGTATGTTTAAAACATAGCCTTCCATAGAGGTGAAGTAGTTTGCAGACAGGAAATATTAAAAGTTTCAAATCATATGAAAAATACAGAAACTGAAGATAGATCTTCAGGTTGTACAACATACACAAAAGATGAGTGAGGTGATGATTTGCCAGGTCTACACAGATGAAAATTATACTCTTGTGAGTTTTAAAATCAATATACATGTTAATGCAAGTCAACTAGAAATTCCACTGGAAGAAATGCAGAAATAATTTTTCAGCAGGAGCTGAAATATGGAGGAATATGTGGAACATATGAAAGATAAGGGAAAAGGCATGCAGACAAATAATGTGAAAGGATGAGAAGTTCAACATAAAGCTGATATATTAGTTGGATGGAGTGTTGGTGGGAAACAAGGAGAAGTAATATGAGAGTAATATTGACTTATGAAATAAATGAGAAGAGGTGTATCGTGAGTTACATAGTAAGATGGGAGTTAGTGGAAGAATTCACTGACAAAAGATGACTGGTAGGCAACTGGAAATTTGTAACTTATTTTTCATTTCAATCTCAAAACAGCTCACAAAGATGGGGAGGATCAGTTATCTCCATTTTACATCTAAAATATGGACATTAGAGTTACCACAAGGGTGGCTTTCTAAAAAAACCCACACATTAACCGTTTCTATATTAGAACAAGGAAGAGAACAGTCCTTCAATCTATTAAGACAGTAATTCCTCTGCTTAAATTTTCTTTGCCACAAGATGTGTCTTTACGTGTTTTTGTGCTAGCACATATAACAGGACAGATTTACAGTGCACAGTTCTATTATATATTCAAAAGAACAGTGGAACATGAAAATACATAAAATAAATCTTAGGATCTACTTGCAAATTTTAAAAATTTTGCTGCAGTTAATTTAAAACAAGAAAAAGATCTCTGTATTTCATAAATCCCACAGAAGATTTTTATTTTTATTCAAACTATATTAAAGGTCAGATTTGCAGGCACAGCAGGTGTCCCCTGAGCACTCATAAAATGTTTTTAGATGTAGTGTTTGTTAACCTCATTTAATTCTCAAAATTACTTTCTTCAGATTGGCTTTCAGGATCATCTCTTGACTGTATACTACTCCATGTTACTTTACTTCAAGAGGTTGGTTTGGGAGGCAAGCACTGATTTGCCTGCAGTCTCTCTTGCTAGTTTTCTGCAGAATCAGACAGTTCTAGATGATCTGTGTTTATAGACTGCAGTCAGCCAAACAATAAAGCGACAATAGTGAAGTCAACAGGCTACAGCAAAATAGGGTGTCAGCATTTTGAAATTACATGGGATTTTTTTTTTCATTTTGTGGACATGTCATAGCCTATTATTTGGTATTATTAAGCAACTCAAACAACCAAGTCAAGAAAAAATTATACTTACATCGTTACCAAAACCATTATTATTGAATATTTTGTTGTATATGAGCTCATGTGTGAAGAGCCTTTTCTGGAAAGAGACTTCTGTCTTCTAAATGTTTGAATATACCACATTTGTACCACACTAAGCCAGAAAAAAGCACTTTTCCTTTGGAATTAAAGTGTTCACAAGGCAGTTCACCCTGAAATAACTATTCTGGAAAAAATTCTAGAGAATAACTATTTTGGGAGGTTTATAATGGTAGGCAAGTTCTTAGTGTCAAGTGAATTTTCCTGCTTGGAACTCTTATTAAATTCTCATGCCTTTGCTGCTCTCCCACAATTGAGAGTGGAAGTCTGTATTTATACATAGGTTAAGTTAAAAGACAGATTTAATAGGTTGCCTTGACAGTGATACTCAGTTTGCTGAGTATCAAAAAACCCATGCTGGAGTACAGAGGGAAGGGGAGAAGAGGAAGGAGATTTTTTTCTTAGCTGAAAGACAGTTATACCAATGTGTTTCTTATTTTTTTATATGTGTTGCCTTTGCCCTCTGGGAACCACCAAAACAGCACCAAATGAGCACATTTCAAAGAGGCAAAATTATTTAATCCAGGGCATTCAGTTGGGTTTGTTATCCCAGAGGTGAAAAAAGAGTTTGTGTTTAATTAGTCCACCCTCAGAGAAATGTGGGGTTTGGATTTTTTTTTTATTTGTTTGTTTTGTTCTGTTTTATTTTTATTTTTATTTTATAAGAAATGCTGTAATTGATATTACCATATAGGAGAAAAGAAAATAACAGAAAATAACAAAACAGTGCTAAAACCTCAGAAAATTTTACATAGATGACCTACTTCTGTCAGGAAAATATAGGTAGTCTATAACAAGCTTTAACAGAGTTATAAATCTTTAAAATATTTCATATGTAACAATCTATTTGTGAAGTAAGGAATTAACATTTTTGTTTTCATACTGTATTAGAACAGTTATTTGTCAAGTACTGTAATGAGATTGTATCCATTTATCAGGATTGAGGATGAGCATGGTTTGAGAGAGAAGCTGGCAAAATGGTATGTGAAGAGAGGCAAATTCTTTGGAACTTGGCATCTTTGATTGCCAACTCTAGTGGAGGCAGGTGGTTTTATGTTATAACGTGATCCGGACAGCTGGTTTTCAGCTTATCTCTTATGATTTTTTGCTTCGATTTTCAGTGTGATATTTCTCAGAAATTATTTGCAGTAAGTCTGTTAAATGTGGATTGCACTTACACCTTTTGGACCTTTTTCATGTTCCTTTGTTTACAAAAATGTTAAGATACTTTAATCAGGCATTGCTAACCTATCTTAATCCTTTGTCTCTTCTAGATGAAGAAACAGCTACTCCCGTAAATGATAAGACATCAGCCAAAGAAACTTAAACCCCATTAATTTATACACATTTTATGTATTAGTGGATGATTTTCTTTGGTTTTATTGATATAATTTTATATATATATACAGAGAGAGAGCATAAAGATTTGTAGACTAATTAGCCTATTTTAAAATTTCCTAAGGTTAAAACTAAACAGAGCTTTGAGTTTTATTTTTTGTGACATACTCAAATTCAGCGTCATAATATTTTCATTTAGTCACAAACTTGCCAAAGACCCTTAAATAGGTTCTTAAATCTAATGGCATCTGCCAATAAAATATATTTTCAGTATATTTATATAACTAATAACCTTAAAAATCTTAAATAAAATTTGTTTTTAAAATCTGAGGCAATACATAGTGTGTTCATCAAAATCAGTAGTTGATTACTTTTAAGAAAATATTATTGCAAAGCGGATGTAACTGAAGTGATGCAGATTTGAATAAGTATATTTTTAGCTACAAAGTAATTAAATGACTTTCACTGATGTATTTTAATATTAATATTTTACATTTTTATCCCAGTATGCCATCCTCTTACGTGCCCACCAGACTTCCTTTCTGTTGCCTTTCTCCAGAATATGACCAACTTCCATTCTATTCTACATATGTATTCAAATACAAACTGTGATTTAAATTATGAAAGTCTTAATTTATTTTCCTTAAATATTCATGAGTTCCTAAGGAATATATTGTGTTCATAGAACACCTAATGTGAATATGGCATATATCTAAACTTGAATAGAAGGACTCTATATTGTTTAGAGGAGCTGCATTTGTGCAGTGGAGTTGAGAACAAGAAGAGAAACAGGCTTTAGAGTAACTTGTTGAAATGACGGTAACTTTGGGATATTAAATGAAAATACCTGGCAAGGAATATCTATTTTGAGGTCACTTATGCTTACGTTTCCCAGCAATTTACTGTCCTGCTAACTTGAAATATGAGGTTTGTTTTTTGCACATTTGACTTAAATTTGATTTCTCCTCTACATTCATGTGCACATGGCTTTATTTCCCCTAGTTTATCATTTCCTCTCTTTGAAATAAAGAACCTTAGTTTCAGACTTGCTTTTATCCTTCCATTTAATTTAAATTCACTCAGTTTGTGATCTCTTGAGCCACAGTTATTGCCTGCAACCAATCTTCTATGATCTTCATCTTATCTATCAAAAATATGCCTAAAATAGCATTGATACCTGCTGGTTCAGTGACTGTATGATGAAAAAAAAAAACAGTTATTCATGTCTGGGAATAATTAGGACTCAATAACTTTACTATAATTTATCCTCCCATTTATATCTGGAAATTAAAGAATTCCAGGCTTGGTTTCATGTAATTAATACTTATGTCTTTGCACCTTTTTGAGATTTCTGTCCAGATTACAATCTATAGCAGATAATTTACA